TCCTTAACCTAAGCTCTTTCTCTTATCCTTCACCTCTCGTGCAATTTTAAAGAAAGATTTATTTCCGTTCATTTTCCACTGCTCCAGTAAGATTAACGAAATATAGCCCTGTAGCTTTTGCCTAATCTTACAAACAAACAGACAGCACTCATCACATGCACCTTGGCGTCAGCAAAGACATAAGCAGGCACTCTCTTCAGCTGCTGTACCCATATGTCTTGAATTGTTGTCTTTCACTATAAAATCTTCATTTGTGTTAAGACAATAAGACTCAAGAGACCAAACAGCAATCAGGCACAGCATTAAAACCACTGCCAGGTGAATAACATTCATATTCTCTTTACAATGCAATGATGTGCTGAAAAACCTTGAGCCTTAACCCACAGCGAGGCACTCCCCCATCTGGATATTACCACGTGCAAGACCATAAGAACTGGACAGGACCAACTTGAGGAAGACAATAAAGACAATTCTTCTAGTCTTATCTGGGCCTTTAAATTCCCAGATTCCAAATCCGACTAAGCAACAATAGGACGGCTACTACCAAATAAAGGCTCCACTCCCAACACCCCCGTGTTAGACACAGCAGGAAACATTCAGAGATCCTGTGTCCATGACCCGATGGATAAGTTGCTTTGGTGGTACAAGAAGAATGTGCACAAAGTAGGCAGGTGGTTTTTATGTTCTGGCAAATCAGTTTCATGTTGGGTTTCACTTGCCCAAAATGCAATCCACAAAAGCAGCATTCTCCCAAATCTTTTCAAAGGATACTCGGTTATTTTAACCCGGTGCATTAGCTGCATATGTGGCATTTGTGGCTCTACCTTGGTTCTATCTCGGGAAAATGAGGACTCAAAAAGCAAGCACATATTATGGCAGCTGCTCACATAAATATGATTTTTACAAATGCTTGTCTGAATCTGAAATGAACCACGTGGAATGAGTGGAAGGAATGATCCATTTGTTTCTTAGGTTTAACTTGTTTAATGTAATTTGTTTTTTTTTTAAAATGAGTCACATACTGATCATGTATCCTCACAGCTCCTTAACAGATCAGCCTACCAACAAATGACTGCCTTGCAAGCAAATGCACAAGAACCTAACCGTGACTCTGGCAAAAAAGGAAAGCGCCCTAAGTGCAGGCTCTTTAAAGCAACACTATGGAAAATGGCTGGTGGTTTAACGCTCCCCTTCCTCTTTTACTCCCTACCTTGCAGAAACAAGGCCATAGAATCGTGCCCACTGTCTGACCCACTTTCCATGACAGACGTAATCTCCCTGCACAAACTTCAGCCTGTTTACCAGCCCAGGGGAGTGTAAGCCGGACCAGGCGGAGTGTGCCAAGCTCCTCACACAGCGGGAGGAAAGCTGCCGCTCAGCTGTACCGACGATTACACCCGCTGAGCTCATCGGCCCTCTCTGATAAAACTACACACCACAGGCACGTGCACACTTAAAGAACGCTGCAAACACAAAAAAATCTCCTCTCAGCACGAGCACACTGTATCATTAAGGTTTAAAAGGGTGCCAGCACACAGATGTTTGGCAAGTGGCTGAGTGGTTGGTTTGAAACTCAAATATAATCACTCAATGCAAGGATCCTGTCATGATTGGCAGCTTTAATTTGTCTGAGTGAATGTGCAATAAAAGGCTTCTATACAGTTCACATAAACGCATTCATTCAATTTGTCCACTTATCTTCGACAGTCTACTTATCAGGCTGTCTTGACAAAGTAATACAACAATGTAGCGCTATGTTGTGCTGCTATGTTTTAAAAATGTACTGTAACAAATCTGCAGCAATATTTTTCAGATTAAGTGCAAAACACACCCAGAAAAAATATGTAAGATATGTAGAATTTTCCTTTTAATTGTGAAAGACTATCATTGATCTTCGCACTAAAGACATTTTGTCAAAACTATTTCTGAACATTTGCTTCGTAATGACAACATTTCATCGTGCAAACAGGCTTCGGGAATCCAAAATCCCTCGCAGAAACAAAAATGCGTTACCAAAACTGCCATAAAGTCAACTGCTCATAACTTCAAATATTGAAAGCCACTTTTAAAAGGCCGATAGGGGGTAAGCGCATTAGTAATTCTGTTGGTGTTTAGCACAGTTTCATGGTGCTACTGAAGCTGTTCGTCTACAAAATCATGCTAAATATTTAATTGAAATTAAAAAAACGTAAACATTTTAGATGAAAAGGGCTCATTCCTTTTTTTTCCAGTCCAGACCGAGGCGAGACTGTGAGGCCTCCCTGTGTCCCCACAGACTGGGTAACTAAGGATACAGGCAGCACTGAACCTCCATTAAGACATCAGAGCTGCACTCCCGTCTGACACCGACAGCTCCGATTTCCTTCCTGAAATTGAGACTCTAAAGCATGCTGAGAACATGAACACACACTCGGGCCTGCAGCCAACACACCCTATGTAAATGTGCAAGCGTGTATATGCTATACTTGCACTCTCACCTCTGTTACACAACAAATCCTGGCCCAGTAGAAGCTGAAGGTTCCACAATTTATAGCAGTGATGAATTGCAGGATTCTTATGCAGGTCTGCACTGTGACGCAGGATTAGGGATTAGTGAGATAAG